TCTAAATTCTCTCTCAACCCTGCCACCATTATTACTATTAGTAGTACGATTATCATTAGTAGCATCTGTGTTCCTACTACTACTACTACTACTACTTCTATTATTGGTGTTATTGGTGAAGATTTTCTCGTTTACTAAGTATAAGCTTTTCCACCCCATCACATGGGCATTCAACTGAGCCTTCTTTAAACGAGATAGGATGGGATGATTTGAAGTCTAGGTAACTATTCTAGCGGGAAGGTTTCCTATGAACACTAGTCTCTACAACCTATTGATGTGTTCCAATTTCACTATTGTAGATGTCTCATCTACATATTGGAAGCATATCTTTGTAGTAGAAATAAATGTTTGAAGGGACATCTGTACCCAACTATCCATAATTGTGTCTGTGACGACAGGGGATATAGGTGATACCATGGCAACCCATTCAGTTTGTTTATACATTGTATTTTGAAGTCTAAAAACTGTAGATGTTGAGTACAAGTGTACTCCTAGCATGGTTTCCTCGATCGGCACCTTATTTCGATGCTGAAACTCACTGTCATCGTTAAGATCATCTCCAATTGCCTTTAGAGCCATGTCGATCGGAATATTCGTGTACAGGCTTGTTCTATCTAAAGTAAGAGTTGATAAGTTGAGATTTTGATTGATTTCTTATTGGTCCTAAAGCCATTGCTAAATATTTAAACAACTCGTAAGTTGGAGTGTTTCTAACTGGGTTGCCGTCCATGGGTCCATAATTCCTACTTCTTTCAGTTCACAATATAGCTCAACCTCTATCCAATAACGTCAGTGAGTAATTGTCCTGTTGTTCCAAATGATCTCAGTTCATGATAAATACCAACCTGAAATCAATAAATGAATCCCAACAAACCTCCAAATTGAATAAAATAAAATAAATTCCCAACTTATATGCAATCATTGTGAGGTGAATTATGTAGGTATTTTGAACAGTAGTGCCAACATAAACAGGAAAGATTTCAGCGCTCCTGTTATGTTACTATATAAGGGAATGAGCATTAAAAAGCCTACATAGAACTCTCAGCAGGGCTAAGGTTGGATCGAGTTAGCAAACAGACCCAAAAACTCACTCGTAGCTAATAAGCATTACCAACTTAAGAATCATACAGCCCAATTCGACAAATTACATGATCTACTGAATACCATACAAGCAAGATACGACAGACCAGTCGATCGTAGTTAGTCAGGCTATCAAAGCATCAAGATAACCAACTAACAACAAAAAATCCTCCATTGCTACAGGTAAACTAAATATATATGGTTGTATAACAGGGTGAAGAAGAGATATAGTTTGAAAGATTTGGGTAGTTAGATGGACAGGTTGATCACTGCATTTGTATTCACTGAACCACTATCTAACACTTTGCAGTAGAAATGATTTTACACGGATTCCTAATGTATAAGAAATTTTGCAACCCTTAAAATGATGAGATGTAAGCCGGCTGTCATGCCCCAGTAGGCTAATGAATAACGCTTTGCCATTTGAAGCGATGGTTACTGCGCTCCAGTCTCAGTGGGAACAACATCACTCATTGCGTTGCATGTACATTCAGCTGATCAGTCCCAAATAAGACGAAACGTGAGTCCTAGATTCGACTGTCAGCCACCATTTAATTATACAGCTGGGGAAGAAAAATAGACACATCTCTCTCTGTCTCTTTTGCTTGGCAGTCTACGCCATGGAAATTGTCTAGCATGGGAGTCAAACACTTGCTCAGGCAACATGAAATCATCAAAATCACTGATTTCACTAACAGGTATACCTTATGTCACGCTTCAAAGCCCAGTGGTCTCAAATACTCTGCAATAATTGTATGTATGTGAAACAACACAACTTGATAAAGTATGATCAGTTAGCCTGCGATGCTACAGCCACTGAGCAGGGTAAATCAAATCGAAGGTGAGGATGAGTGCTCAATGATGGTATTGGATGATGGTCGAGCACTATTGCAAACTGACAGAAGTAGGAAAATGTGGACCGTTGAATTTCAGGCCATTGGTTCGATGGTATCATACTCACAACGGAGGTCCTGAGTGTGATCCCTGACAGATTTGTGGGGGCGTACTAATGAGAAGTTAGAGAGAAAGTAACAAATAACAAAGATCTATGGCTCATCGGTTCAGGGAGATAACTTTCTACTGATGGGTTACGGGTTCGAACCCCGCCCCACCTAATGTAGTTTGGGCAGCCAGGTAATATCACTAGCCGGGTCTCACACAATAGGTGTGTGGTTCATTGCCTACTGCACGAATATGCATCAGGTGGCTGAGTGCATTTCGATTCGATTCGAACAAATAATCCTACAATAAGGAAACAGAGAGTAGTTGGATAAGTTTGTAAACAGTAACAGTGGAAAAAATACTTTATACGTCATACTGTTCAAGGACAGAAAATCTTAACTTAGAGTCTATATGGTTTGCAAACTACTTAATTGATAAACTCAAGTAGTATATACATCCATTATTATTTGATGTTCAATGGAATAGTACTGAGCATGAAGGGATGTGAACTATAGATAAGTAAGTGTATAAGGCAAGAATAGATTTATTAACAAAGAAGAACTTGAATGGTTACCGGTAATGAATCAAGCATTTACTTGATGAATCAGATTGAAAAACGATTTCAAGATTATCTTTGGAAACGTAACCACCGACCTCCAGATATTCTACCAACTGACCTGTGAGATTCAACTGCTTATCAGATCTTAATTTCACTTTAACCACCAAGGATTTTGCCTGATTTCTATGTGAATGCGCTACTTACCACTCATCGTATTCATACTGGCTGTTTAGTCAGGACTTCGTTTCCCTATTTAAATCAGGATGAATCAGACAGTGAAGGAAGGCATCATATTGATTATCACTTCACATGGCAGTCATGTTTCAAGTGAAATGATAGTGTAACCAGCAATTGGGTCTTATAGTTGAGTTGGTACAGCATCAAGCTAATCCGAATCCTTCCATGACCCGGATTTTCAGTTCATCTTCAACCATCACCCAGAATCAGTAGTATAAGTCCGTCACACACTCAAATTCAGAGTCTATTAAAAAAAACCGATATTATTCAGTGCTACGCTGATACTCTCACAAACAAATTGAACAGAAACACATTCCACAGCTTTTGGTACATTCATGCAGTAGTCAATGACCCACGCCAAGTGTGTGAGGGTTGGTTAGTGAAACTATCTGGCTGCCCAAACGTCAGTAGATGGAGCGAAGCTCGAACCCCATGAGTCACTAGTTGAAGATCATTGCCGTTAACCAGTGAGTCACAGCTCCATGAACATCACGTAGTGACAGTTGACACCTGACGTAAGGTTAACTGAATACCAAGAAATATTCAACTTTAATGCATTATCTATTTAAAACTTCTCAGAAGTATTGACTATTTCACGAATCCAGCGCCCAGTATTCCAATTTCTTCAACAGTGATGTTTCATTGTTGTTGCTTGCATTATCCCATCCCAGCGGGAACAACGTCACTCGATGGGAAGTAGGTACATCCAGCTGACGAGTCCCAAATAGGACGAAACGCGCGTCATGGATTGTACTGCTAGTCACTATCCACTATTACTATTAAAAACAGGCAATACCAAGGCATCCTTGCACTAGCCCATATGCCAATAGAGACTGATCAATTCGGTCCAATCAACGACGTGGTAATCCAAGCAACAATATTAAAAACTATACTCGTTGTACAAGGAGTGTCTATTGTGGCTCGGTGGTCTAGTGGAAAATGCTCTGGAGTTGAAAGCGATTGGCTTGGTATTCGAGTTTCAGCGGGAACAACATCAATCACTGAGAGACAGGTACACCCAGCCGACGAGTCCCAAATAGAACGAAACGTGCCACTAGCCACTATCCATCATTAAGTGATGTTTCATTCCAAATTAGAATAATTCAGAATACCTTACATTGTTTCAACAAAGTCGATTTGAAGAAGAATTCACCGCTTATTTTAAAAATCACTTCAGAGACCCTATGAAGGTGAAAGAAAAATCTAGTTTGGCTTCAATACTTATCCCAGTAAAGCCAATCTGCTAAACAATCGCTGCATTAGATAGTCTCATTATTAGTTGCTGGGTAGTCAAAAGACAATGGTCCATAGTGTCCAATCACTGATAAACTTAATTACGGCATTAGCGAATTAACCATGTGGTTCCAATCCACGGTTTCTGGGTATCGATGTACCTCCCAAGTCCCTAGGGTTCGAACTCTCGAAGTCAAGAGTGTGGACTAGGATTGTTAACTTGCAGACGATTTACAAATTGCGCAGTGCATATTGACACTTATCACACCTGGATAGCTTTTTCAGTTGCCTAGTTAATGGTGTCCACATGGTTTCTGTTAGAAACCACCCACCGGGCCAAGTTAACTCAGTAATTTACCCGCATGAATTCACTTCATAGTTCAGATCAGCTGAACGGTGCCAAACAAGCGAAACTGACATATGATGTTCAGACTGTTCTGATCTGACTGGCTGGCGAAATTTACTGATCAGCATGTGTACTTGCTTACTACTTAAGTTGTTTATCAATAGTACATTTCACTGAGTGTGAATTACTGAAGTATATCAGTGTTTAACAAAACGACCCTTTGCCTTTTCTTAATCTTGAATTTGTATTCAAAACTGTCTAGAGTTCACTATAAAAAATAAAGCCATATGTAATGAAACTTCATACAGAAAAGTTTCACAATTGAAGAAACTCCTAGTGGCTGTAAGAATAAATACTTAACGATGACATTGGGTGGCGGTCAAGCTATATCACGAAATGACAGAAGTAGGAAATATGGACCATTATATTCCGACGCAGTGGCTAGCTCGATGGTAACGTGTTGGTCACGGGTTCTATCCCTAGCGGGGTCGTAGGTCCCAGTGCTCCCAAGTTCCCAATGTTCCTCCAACTGATTTCAGTCCATGATGAATACCAAAATGTAATTTAAGGTTTAGAATTATAGACTAAAGATGATTAACTTACTAAATAATAATTTCGTAAATTTTGTATGATAATTTTCCAATTGTTCAATCGATCTTTAACACAGGTGACAGTCTCACATAGACGATCATCTGGATTGGTTTTTTCATCACTAAAAAGAGAAATCAAAGAGGAATAGACTAATTGACAGTAAATCAAACTGAATGAGATGTTTAGAAGCAAGAATACAATACAGGATATGAATAAGCTTTTAAAGGCGACCACCAGTAAAAGTAGGAGTTAAACCATTTAACCAACGACTGGTGTAACCTTCATCTGATCCTCCAACTTGCATACCACAGCCACTCAGTGAGTTATGCCTGGTAAGAATACTAGTTCCACTGAGATCTTACCATACCAGAATGATTTGTTAGTTAGTAGTAAGATAAAAAGTGACTACCGTTATAATGTAGACAACTATACTATGAAAGCGGTTCTGAGGGTGAAGTTGTACTGCTGGTTAGACGGAGGTTCTGGTCATGAATGACAAGCAACATCAGGTTGATACTGCCTTCCAAGTGGTAACGAGAGATCAGAATAAGTTAACTGAAAAAATGGTACACTCATTCCTGTCCCGCAGTATACAGCTGTCAGCTGTATGGGGTTTCTCACTGGCTGCAAATTAATCAAAGCTAAGTCTGAAATCTCGAAAAAGGTCATATATGCTCAGCTTCAAACAAATTTCCTTTGGGCTTTGCGATCACCCACTACTATTACCAAACCAAGTTCTAGTTCATGCACTTCAAAAAGAAATAACGTTCCTTGGTGTCGTCAGCCGGGAAGTACCAACCATCATCACAACCTAGTCACTACTCAACTTCCTTCAGACCATTACCAGCCTTCTAAATCTTTCCCTTCCAATCTTTATTCATGTCAAAAATCCAGACATCATCTTTAGTTTTTTCAGCTCTATAACTCTCGATAACGATTGCAGTTAGGGGAACAGCATCCTTGGTCTCCTGAAACTGCACTTCGAAGTACCTATTTGGGATTTAGATTTGTGTTTATCACCTATCGGTAGTTATCAGAGATTTTTATACATATGTAGTGTAAACAGTGTACAGACAGACATGGATAAAATCAAAATGGAACCTTGCACACAAGTCATCATCATCAAGATCAACATAGGACCAGGTGTTACTGAGTAACGGTTTAATTTGCTCCACCTCATTTCATATCAGCACATCAAGAAACAAGGCAACGAAATGGAAGATGAAGAAAGAGAGAAAAATCGGTTACAGGGAGTAGAAGCTGTAGTAGAAAGTAGTAGAAGAGAGGAAGGAAGAATGAGATGATGAGATTAAGCATAGTGATTAAGAGGAGGATAGTGTGTCTATGCATCTGCGGCAGTGACATAGGTTCTGAGTCATATCGTCACCTAGAGTCTCCAACCACTAGTTCCTCTTATCCCACGGACCAAAACCAGGTAGTCTGCATCACTCCATATGGCTTAAACTAACAGTCAAAGACTTCATACATTGGTGCCATGCTTTAGTCTGGCTGCCGCAAGGCCTTTCTCAGCCTGAACCTACTTCGGCCAACATTGTATGACAAAGCAGATGGTGACTAGGCATACGTAACATATGTCCCAACCATTTCAGTAGATGAAGGTTCACAACCTCATCAACTTTCTTACCGTTTCTGCTTAAAACTCCACATCTGACTTCTGCGTTACTCACATGGTGACACCGTGGAACACGGCCTATACTACAAAGGCAATGGTGGTCAAACAGATGCAGCTTTCTCTATTCTTCTATCTTTCATGTCTATGTTTCACAGCCATGAAGTAGAACATAACGGACTGCAGCACAATATACTTAACCTTTAACCCACAATCAGATATCGCGGCGGTGCCACAGTTGACGTAAGTTGTCGAAAGGTAACCAAGCTCTTTGTATCCGTGCAGAGATATATCAAGATGTAGATACATCTGCTCCATTGTCACGGCTTTCAGTCATATCATCAAGAGTCATCAACCACTGATTCCTATCGCCTCGGTGCTCCCCAGATAGAGTCTACATCTCGCGACGTGGCTCGGACCAGCAGTCAAAGATTTCATGAACTGGTGTCATGTCTTGGTTTGGCCAGTTTGAACTCTATTCTAATATAATCCAACTTCGTCTGGGATCGCATGTCAAGTTAGATAGTGACTCGGCATAAGCAGCATATGTCCAGCAACCAATTCAGTCCTTGAAGATTCACAACCTTATCAACTGACTTGCCTTCCATGTCTAGTACCCTTCGCCTGACCTCGAAATTGCTCACGTGGTGATTCTATCACACTCGATCAATGCTATGAAGACATTTACAATTAAAACCTGTAATCACTTCATCGTGTACAGGTCCATGAAACTGGCTATCAGCTAGAAAAGGACCATGTGAAGACTAACGCTACAGATTAATCGTTTACTATTCAGTAGTAAGTAAAGAACATAAGACCTGACACTTGGAAGTAGGATATTTTCACCATACTTTTGTTTGTGTTCTTTGAGCTACGTTGTTTAATCGTGGAGCTTTCATCATCTTTCTAAACGACATCATCAGCACTAACTTCACTATGAAGTGAGCTGTCAGTATTTCTCCATGAGTAATTTAGTAGCTTGCCCTGACGAACTGGTTTGTGATTGGTTGTTTCCTTTGATTGTCGTGTCATTGACTGGTTGTACAGATTTTCCTGTTGACTGTTCCTTTGCTTGACCTCTGACCTTTCCATCGTTTATCATTTTTCTTATTGGTTGATAGATTGGGTCTATGTCTATATATCTACTAATTGCTGACTAATTGACATAAATGCCAAGCTTCTAGGAATTCCCTGATATTCTTTGTGTTCTGTCTGTCCAAAAATCCTACATTGTCGAGATAAAATTCGTGTCCATCATTGTTATCCACGTGAATTGAAATGAGTGATGAAGTTTCGTGATGTCTAATAGCCAATCGGTGTTCATGTAGACGAAGGCGGAAAGGGCGACCACTTTGTCTAATGTAGTGTTGACTAGTTATTGGAGGTGATTTTATAAATGATATACGGTTTGTCTTCTTTGTTTGTTGTATCCTTCGGTCTGCATAATAGTGTTTAGAGGGGATTTGTTGGTTTATGAGCCACACCAATTCCAAGTGGTCTTAGTGAAACTATTATGCAGAACAAAGGATGCAACCGAATATCATTTACAAAATCAACTCCAATAACTATAGTCAACACTACATTGGACAAAGTGGTCAGCCTCTTAGCCTTTGATTAAATGAACATCAATTGGCTATTAAACATCACGACATTTCATCACTCATTTCAGTGCAAGTAGATAGTTATGGACATGAATTCAATTTTGACAGTGTACACATTTTGGACAGAGGAAACACAAAGAATATCGAGGAATTCCTAGAAGCTTGACATTCAGGTCAGTTAGTCAGCAATCGATAGAGCCAATCTATCAACTAATAAGAAAAATGATGAACAACAGAAAGATCAGAGGTCAAGCAAAGGAACAGTCAACAGGAAAATCTATACAACCAGTCAATGACACGACAATCAAAGGAAACAACCAATCACAAACCAGTTCGTCAGGGCAAGCTACTAAATTACTCATGGAGAAATACTGACAGCTCACTTCATAGTGAAGTTAGTGCTGATGATGTCGTTTAGAAAGATGATGAAAGCTACACGATTAAACAATGTAGCTTAGAGAACACACCCCAACTAAGATCATTCACCTGAGCTACAAATATTCTCCACCATTTCACCATACTTTGTCAGGACGGTAAATATCTACCGATAATGACCTCATATTGACCCATTACCTATTGATGGATATATATCTTAGTTGTAATAATAAATACAAATGTACAACTTCTGAAAATGATTCATCAAACAGAAAATTTTCTTCTCTATATTGTCTTTTGTTAATTTTTCATCATCTAATCGAATTATTTCCATAGTTTCGCAAAAACAATAATAATCTTCATACAATCCATGAAGAGAAACTATTCTAGAAGACGAAACATACATGAAGTATATATCAAATTCACTTCAACAGTTGAGGAGTTTACTTCAACTAGCCAACTCTGATGGCTTCAACAGCGTTTCCGTTGGAAATCACCCTCTCCAACCAAGATTACGTGATATGATCTTTGAAACAAAAGTGTCATGAATCAGGTCAGTATACTACTGAACAACATGAGTAGCTAGAAAGCATTCAGATTGATCTGTAAATATCACCAGCCAGCCAGATTACAGTGATATAAACTCCGGACGACGATTTCGCTCGTTTGAGACTGACTTGATCATTTGTCTGAACATTTAACATTTAGCAAGGTTACAGGTTCCATACCAATTCACTTAGTCTATGTTTGGACAAACATATCGTATCATTTTTCCGCACAAAACATGTTCATATGCTTGCTAAGCTGTACCATTTATTGATTGTTTGTTTTTTATATCGCATGGTGGGCTAATTTTCATGCGAAAGCCAAAAAATTAAACAACTTTATTAAAACTGCAAGCTATTAAATCCTGATTATTGATTTTTTAGTACTGTTAAAAACTATTGAACAACCATGATGTTATATTGATCTTGGTGACTAGCCGAGGAATCCAGGATGCGAGTTTCGCCCTACTTGGGACTCATCAGCATGATGCACCTTCACCTCAGCGAGTGATGTTGTTCCCACTGAGACTCGAACTCCAAAGCGTTATCCACTAAGCCACCTGATGTGCAACGGGTATTGGTTGTTGTCATGAAACTTGTAATTTTCTGTTGTTATACAGGGTGAGTTGCTTGACCTATCGTACCCCAGTGGCTTAGAGGATAGCTCTGTGGCGTTTGAAGCGATGGGTACTGGGTTCAAACCTTAATTGGAACTCACTGGAGTGCAGGCAGATTCATCTGACGAGTCCCAAATAGAACGGAACGAATGACCTGGATTCCTCTGCTAGTCACCAAGATCAATATGACATCAGGCATATTCAGCAGTATCGAGGCATCCACATAGGAATGCATCTGGTAACAGCAGAGGTCGAGCAATTCGGCCCTGTATAGCAACGTGAAATTACAGGTATCATAACATCTAATGAACAACCAGTTTTATCGATCCCATCCACTAGTCACGTGGTTAATG